TGATCTTCAACAACAGGTGATGGATCCATGTCCGTTTTTTGCGACATAGATGTGGCGCACTTGTCGTTCAATGGATCACCGGTCACATGTCCTGTCCCAGACTGTACACTCATCATCGATGGCAGATCCGATTCATCGCATCTCGACGACAATGTTTCTTGATCTAGGCCTCTCGAATATAGTTGATCCAGACTGACATCCTCCATTTCATCTCGGCTATCCTCTTCTCGCAGTCCTTCCATGTCTGTGGTTTTCTCCACCAGCGGATCAGTCGCCCATATGTCCAGCGTCACTTGATCGAGATCTTCCAGCGCCTCCTTGACCGTTACGGCTTGCGATATAGAGTCTCCGTCTGCGATAGACGACAGATCCGACTCCTCACTCGCGACAGACGCTAGATCCAACGGTCGCATCTCCGACGGCGAGTTGTCCGACGGCGACTTGTCCGACGGCGACTCGTTCGAGGGTGGGCAGTCCGGAATATCTCGATCCTGACTCGCCTCGACCTTCCAGTTGCCTTCGGTCTTTGGAGTATTGCGCGCGGAGTTTCATACTCGGGCCGCTCCACCGCGGGCACCATCGGGTCCTTGACCTCCATTTCTTCGGATCGGGTGTCTGTCGTAGCCTCCAACGCTAGATTCTGCCACTCCGTGTAACGACGAGAGCCGATCGAGATAAAACCCGGTATTCGCGGCACATGGTCCCCAGCCAGCCAGATCCCGATCCGTTGGTCCTGATGCAGGATCAACACCTCGTCTCCAATATTGGTGATCGAGATGTATTTCGTCCGCCCGGGTCCACAGGATATTGTCGGCACCCATTGATCTCCACGCGTGACCCACAGCTTGTCGTGGATCGACGGCCGCAGACGCAATGGTAGTTCCACCGACTCTCCTGCTTGGATCCGCAGGTATTGGCCGACGTTGACGATCTTCGCTTTGTCGCTATAGAGCTGTCGCCTTCCGCTAAGCTGGATCCGGACTTCGTCCGGCAAACTGATCGATCCATGGGCTAGATCTAGACGGATTCCAGCTGGAACCATGAAGTCCATGCCGAGTATAGCTTGTTGGCC